AGCCCCTCAGCCCCTCTGCCCCTCTGCCCCTCCAGTCCCTCAGTCCCTCACTCCTCTGTAAGGAGGGAAGAAGCAGGTCCACACTCTGCTCAGTAGTGAGAGCATACTGAAACAGGTCTATTCTGCCTGATAAGATGCCACTCCCCCACGCCCCCAAGTGTCCCTCAGGATCGCGGACCTCCTTGTGCAGCAGGAAGTAACACCTGGCAGGGTTAGTGCCTAGCCCGGAGAGGGCCTGTGGTGGGTGCCGCTGCAGTTCCAGTGGTTGGATTTCTCCAGTATAACCCCGAGGGTGAGACACTTAGGTGGCCTGCTTTGGAAAAGGATTTTGCCCCCAAGGAACAGGACACAGGAGTGTGAATTACCAGCGTCAAAGATAAATGGTTTTATAAATGGAGGCCGTCTGACCTGGTGGGCCCGAGCCCCGGGTCTGGCAGTAGAGGGCTCTAGTTTCAAATCTAGCCCCAACCACTTATGAACTTCATTACCAAGAATAAGCAGCCTCTCCATTCGGACCCTTGGTGGGCTCGTTAGTAAAATGGGGATTGTGAGCCCTGCTGCCACAGTAACCCGCTCACAGCCAGCACCCAGTGACGGGAGTGTCACTGGCCTGGCACCCCAGCTTCAGGGTTGAATCTGGCTGATCCATGTCCAGCTCAGGTGGAGCCGCTCGGAGCCACAGTTCCCACAAAGTTGAGGGGTCAGCACAGAGCCTGGGGCGTGAGGAGCCCTTGGGAAGCGTCAGCCTCGTACACCCAGCTTCCTGGGAGGACATTGGGCCTCGCGTGAGTAACAGGGAGTGGTAGGCCTAAAGCCCGTCTCCCCTCAGGAGGGCAGCCGCAGCCGACACAGCCCTCGTCCACACCCAGCCAGCGTTGTTGAGCCTCTTCTGTGTCCTGCTCTGGGGGTAAAGCAGGGAGCAAAACTGACGAGAGCAAAATTCTCATGAGGGAGGAAGGCGGAATTATCCAGCATCTGGTGGTGATGGGGCCGCAGGGGAAGGGGAAGGCCCCTGTGAGGAGGTGACATGTGAGCAAAGATCTGCAGCAAGTGAGAAACCACAGAAATCCCTGGGGGAAGAGCGTTCCCGGCAGGGGGACCAGCAGGGGCAGAAGGGTGAGGTGGCCCACGCTTGGTGAGTCCGAAGAACAGCCAGGCGGACAGAGTGGTGGCCAGAGCAGTCGGTGAGGGCGAGGGTAGGAGCTCCTCAGAGGTGGGGGCAGACCAGGCAGGGCTTTGCAGACCCAGGGAGTGTGCTGGAGATGGGGGAGGGCTTTGAGCAGAGCCGCCCTCTTCCTCACATCTTAGAAGGATGAGTTACTGCCTCAGGGCAGGGTCCTCAACCTCTAGGCGCTTGACCCTTCGGGCAGGATCGTTCTTCGTGTGGCGAGCTGTCCTGTGCATTGCGGGAGGTTTAGCTGCACCCGTGGTCTCTACATACTACATACCAGGAGCACCCTCCCCCCGTCAAAATGTCTCCAGACACTCACCAGACATCCCTAGGGGGCAAAGTCACCCCCAGTTGAGAACCACTGCCTTAGGGAATGGGGGCCTGAGTGTCATCCCGTCTGCCAGCTTTCCAAGACAAACTAGAAATCCAGATTTTTTGTGTAAAATCTCAGATTTGTAAGATGTTTCCTTTTTTGGTTTTAAATCCTGAGAGGCCAAACAGCCCCTTCTGAAGGTCAGCTTTGGCTGGCAGCGGTCAGCAGATCGCCTCCGACCTCGGGTTCCCCAGGCCCTCGACCTGGGCTTTCCAGGGCCCCAGCTGAATCCCCAGCTTCTCCGAAGTATGGGGGGCAGAGGAGGGCGGCCTGGGCCCCAGGGAGGCCCAGCCCCTGACATCCTCTCCTCCTGCAGCACAGTGGACGACAACCCCGACTTGGACAACCTGGATATTGTGGCACGGGATGAGGAGGAGAGGTACTTCGATGAGCAGGAGCCTGAGGATGCGCCCAGCCCAGCCCAGAGCTAGACGGGGGCTGACGCCCGCCGGCCTCCCTAGCCTGCCACCAGCCCCAACAAGACAGTTGATGACAGGCCGACTCAGTGACTCCTTCTCTCAGGGGACACCAGGGCAGTCCCCCCGACACCACCACTGCCACCAACCCCGCTGGGTCCAGGCCTCGTCTCAGAGAGAGGGGTTCCCTCTCTCCCCCGCCAAGGCTGCCTCTGTCTTTTGCTTGCCATCTCTGTCTCTATTTCTTTTTGTCTCTCTGGACTTCTTTCTCTGTCTTTCTCTCAGGCTTTCTTTCTCCCCGCTTTTCTGTCTCTTGCTCTCTCCCCCTCCCTGGTGTCTCACTGCCCCTCTCTTTTCCTCCTCTGCCTTTCTCTCTCCCTCTCTCCAAGTCTCTGGCCCTCTGTGTCTCTGTCTTCCACCTTCTCCTTCTCTCTGCGTTGGGCTCTGTCTCCACAGCGTGAGTATTCTCCCCTTGACCAAGGCCAGCAGGGCTCTTGGTGGCTGGAACGGCCAGGGTGGCTCCAGTGCCCAGCTCAGAGTCAGGGCTGATACCTGGGCCCCAGGGCCTCGCGCTGCCTCTGCCGTCCCTCTCGTCCCTCTTCACTCCCTGTGTCGCTGTCTCACATTCGCCACCTCCTTCAGCCTCTGGGCCTGCTGCTCTTCCTGCCTGTACGTTTCCACCTCGCCGCCTCTGTCCTGCCTCTTTCCCTCTCTGTCTGGCTCTCAGACTTTCTCTCTCTGAGTTTCAGTCCCCCTACCTGGCGTGGCTGCTGAGTAACGCACCTCACTGTGAGCAAGGGGAACCCAGGCTTGGGAGGGGTGGCCGGGGGCAGAACCAGGGATCACAGGCCTGCCAGCTTGAGGGTGGGAGAAGGGGCGCGGGAGGGCTCTCCCTTCCCAACCTCAGCAGCCCCCCTCTGCCCAGCCACAATTTTCCCTTCCTTCACTTCCTCCGCCTCCCTTGCCTGTTTACACTCCCCAAATATGAGCAGGCTGTTATCATGGGTCCTGAGTCATCCCCCACACATGGCCTGCCCCAGTATCCCTGCCCCCAGCCGGCCACAGGGCCCACCCCATGGAGCCCCCTGCCGCCCCAGGCTAATGGGAGCCAGATGGCCGCCGGGTGACTCAGCCAGCCACTGGCCTGTGGGAACCCAGGCGTCCCGCCTTCCCATGCCCCCACACCCGCTCAGGCTTCTCCAGTAGAGAGAGAGAGAGAGACACACACACACACACACACACACAGAGAGAGAGAGACACACACAGAGAGAGAGACACACAGAGAGAGACACACACACAGAGAGAGAGAGAGAGACACACACACAGAGAGAGAGAGACACACAGAGAGAGAGACACACACACACAGAGAGAGAGAGACACACACAGAGAGAGAGAGACACACACACACAGAGAGACACATACACACACACACACACACACACACACGGAACTGGCTGCTGGGGCAGGGGCAGGCCAAGGTCAGGAAGGTGGAGCCTTGGGAGCCTTGGAGACCCCTCACTCATAATCAGATGGAATGGTGGCATCCCACCCTGGCCTGAGCCTCCTTGGGCATGCAGCCCAGAGTTGGGAAGACCCTGAAGCCTCATAGGACCTCAGTTCCTCAGCCCCAGCATCAGCTCTGCCCTCTGGGTCAGCCAGAATTAGAATCAGACACAGAAAGTGAGAGCTGGGCAAGACGGGTATTCAGATGGGGGCACCGCCAAGCGATTACAGCCACAGTTACTGAGCAGTTCCGTCCTCCGCCAGGCCTGAGTGAGGGGCTTCCACCTCGTTGGATGCTCCAAAGAGCCTGTGAACTAGAGACAATCAGCTCTCTCACAGACGGCTCTAGGAGGCCCAGAAAGGAGGAGCTACGTAAGGTCGCACAGCCATCAGAGGCAAAGCTGAGATGGGTACCTGGGTCTAGAACCACGCAGGTCCTAGAAACCAGTCTACTAGCCCGTCTGCAGATACGGGGGGCAGCCCAGGGCCAGGCAGAGAGAGAGGGATAGCACACAGACTTCCTCGGACGGAAAGATTGACAAAGTGTTCGATGTTGATAACAATAGCTGGCGGCTTTGCCCCACCCCCACCCCCAGATGTGCTAGGCACCTTCCTGCATAGCCTGTGGGGCGATGTCATGGAGTTGTCCCCAACAGCCCTAAGCAATAGTAGATCAGTGTCACTATCCCGTCTCCTAGAGGGAACAGCAACGAGGCCCAAGGCAACCCAGCCAGCTACACCCCAGGATCCTTGGGGGCCCACCGTTTGGAAAGCCACAGTGCGAGAGAGATGAGTGACGTCTCTCAGGTACTTGTGTTCTTGACCAATCTATCATTAAATGTGTTTATTACATATTTTTCCATAAACAGCTTTTTTCTTATATACATTAAAAAAACAGTCGGCATCGAGTGGATTCTGACTCATGGAGACCCCATGTGTTATGCAGTATAAAGGAAAAATGGGGGGGGTGAGAAAGACAGCAGTTGAGTCAGAATTAGGGTTAGTCAGATGGTTGAAAAGTGAGCGTCTACGGCTGAGGAACAGGCAGACCTGGTCACGGGCAGGGATTAGATGGGGAGACAGGAAGAGAGATGGGGACGGGAAACCTCAGAGAATCCGGCAGGGATGACGAGAGACACCTCCGGTCACGGCCTCTGAGCAACTGAGACCCAGAGGTGCTGGAGGTCCCCTCCCTCCACCCCCAGTTGAGGTGGGGTGAGCGGAGGGGCTGAGTCAGGGAGAGGTGTCTCTTGTCTCTCCTGGCCCTGGCCCTGGCCCCTGCTCTGCCGGCTGCTTCTCAGATTCTTCCCCTCACTCCCCCGAAGCCTGACACCTCTGTCTCTTGCCAAAGCTAAAACCCTCGCTCATCTGTCTCTGCGTCTTCCTCCCTCCCTCCCCTGTCTCTCTGTCCCTGTCTCTGCCCCTTGCTGTCCCTTCTCCCTACTTCTCATGCCTTTCCTGTTCCTCCACCTGTCTTCCTCCTTTCTTGGTCACTTTTCATTCTGTCCCTGCACCTCTCTGGCTGTCGGTGTCCTCATCACTTTTCACCTCTTCTGTCACCCAGCTTCCCTCCTCTCTCCGTCGTTTTCCTCTGCCTCTCTCTCGTCACTCCCTCCGTCTCAGTCTCTGGGCTCTGTCACAGTCCCTGTGACCCTGTTTCTCCGGCCCTTTCTTGGCTGCCCCCGCCCCCACTCTCTTCTGGGCCCTCCTTTTTTCCTATCCCTCTCCCACTCTGTCTCCTCTCAGCCCCCTCCTCTCTGTCTCCCAGGCCCTGGGAGGCCCAGCTCAGATGCCCAGGTCAGAGTTTCACGGGTGGCCCCTGAGAGCCAGGAACAAGGGGTCCCTGCCTCGCCTCACCCAGAGAGGAGGCAGGAGGGAGACAGCGAGGCTGCGGACCTGTCTGGCCAGAAGGAAATGTCTGTGCTGCAGCCTGGTCACCCCCGCCCCCAGGACCCGCTGGGCTGCGGCCGCCCCTGGGCTGGGGCCACGTAAACACAGCCGCCGGCAGCGGGGATATTTATACCGAGGGCCGGGCGTGGGTCCAGTGCCCACCGCAGCCCCTGCCCTGCCCTGCCCTGCCTGCCGCCACAGCCAGCCCGAGCCAGCGTGGCACCAGCCAGCGAGGGGACGCGCTGCAGACACAGCCTCACTTGGCATGGAGGCCAGCAGGCGCTGGTTGCTCAGGATGTCAGCGGCGGCGCTGGGGACACACGACTCCCCCTCCTCTGAAGGCACTAGGACAAAATGCAGACCCGCACTTTTTGCAGCTGCTGGAGAACACCCCCCGAACCCAACCCCACCCCGACTGAGAGAACTAGAAATGCCCTCTGGGTGACACACGATAGAGACCGCACAACTGACAGAGGCTGGAGTCGCCAGCCCACGTGTGGGACACAAAATACAGACAGCAGCTGCTCACAGACACACAGACGCCCACAGAGGCGGAGAACACTAGCCCGTGAGGACACACACACATACCACACAGCCCTCTCACAGACACACAAACACTGTGAGAACGACAGCAGGCACGCTGGAGACACACCACGTAGACACAAAAACGGGCTGAAAATAGCTACACACACACTGATCACAAAACAACCCAGAAGCAACATGCCCACGGACACAAACACTGGGAACTATGACACACACAAACACACTGAAAATACAGCTCACGTACAAGACACGCAAAATGCCCAGCACCTCCTGGAAACACGTCTTCGTAGACCCATAAACTTACACGGAAAACACGCACATTTCAAGTCAGACTTTCACTAAGAATGTACAAATTTACACCCAGAAAAGAACAGTAAAGCTGTTGAGAAAAAAATCCCGACATACAACAGCGCCTCCGAGATAATCCCCACTCTCACACACAGACTTGCCAAGTCAGACGGTGCCAGGACAAGAACCCACAGAGAAACATGAAACATAGACGCGCACACCAGAAATGCAACACAGTCACGAACACATGGAGCTGAACACACGCTGGGGCCACGCACTGAAAATCCCCAGGATAACCAAGCGCCCAGGCCGATGTGTTAGAAACTCCCATGGCAGAAACAAAACTCACACCACAAAACCTGCTCGCACTCTCCCACACACACACAGGTTCTCTCTCTCACACACACACAGGTTCTGTCTCTCACAGGTTCTCACACACAGGTCAGGTCCTGTCTCTCACACACAGGTTCTCATACACACAAGTTCTCACACACACAGGTTATCACACACACACACACAGGTTCTGTCCCACACAAGTTCTCACACACACAAGTTCTCACACAGGTTCTCACACACACAGGTTATCACACACACACACAG